GAAGGGCGCGACCGGGCGCGATAGGAACGCGTGGGATGGCGTGGAAAAGCATGCGGGTTGCGTGAGCACCGTAGCCATTGCACCTCCAGCGCTAGAGACTCCGCACGCGTGGACAAACCCACGCAGCCCCCCCTGCAGGTGCGACTGAACATCGTCGGCATCCATGGGGGTGGCCATGCGTATCTTGCGCGCAGACGACACTGCGACGAGATGCTGAGCTCAGGAGCTGGGAGTCTTGTCTTGACGCACGATTCCCTACACCTCCGACGGCTGTAAGTAAACCTTTGGGCACTCCAACTGACGATCGACAAGCGGTCGGACGGCGAGAGTGGCCTGGCGGGGGCAACGGCGGCAGCGGGAGTGGCGGAATAAGAAGAAGATGGAGCTGCTGGAAAATTTACCAGAACAGCTGGAATCACTGCTGCCAGAAGTACTACACGCGCGCCCATCCTCGGACGCCCAGGAGGGCCGTCTGAGAGCAACCTTCGCTTCGTGGAGGAGAGCGCCAACGTGGGCATCCAGCCCCAACGTGGGGGGCGCGGAAGGCTCGATGCCCACGTGGATCTCATCGGAGACATCGCTGGGAGAGATGTGGGATGCGCGCGCGTTGTCTTCCGCACCGCGCGGCGCGCGCATATGTCTCCGCCGAGGCCGTCTGACCCGATCTCGGAGTTTGTGGCGCGCAGGAATGCCCCCGCCTCGCTTTTTCACCCGGCCCATGACCGAGCCAATGCGCCGGCTGCGCAAATTAGGGTCGCACCGAATATTGAAAGAGAGAGAGAGAGAGAGAGAGAAAGAGAGAAAGAGAGAGAGGGAGAGAGGGAGAGTGAGAGAAACATTTAAAAAAGAGAAAGGGAAAGACAACCCGTCCGCGAGGGTCTGGGAACGCACAATTGGCATCGAAGCGATTCGACAATAGCTTTTCGGGAGCGGCCAAGAGGGGGGTGTCCAAGAGGGGGGGGTGCAAATCATGACCGGCGGCATGTGCGCGGCCCAGCGGGGGGGCCTGGGACGTAATGAGACCAGACGAGGTGCCATGCAATCTTTGGAAAAATCATGGCCCCGCCATGAAATCCCTCCCCCCCAGTCGTCGCCCCCCCTCCTTTCCGCCCCCGAGCTTTGCGATTCATGTCGGAGGTGTTGATCGAACACCGGGAATGGTTGGCCACTGGCATAATCCGTTACAGTGGTGGCTCGACCACAAGAAACCTTCCGAAAAAAAACCCAACCCTGAAGCCCCAGGACACCCATGGACTTCTAGTGTGGGGACGTCACGCTTTACATAGCAAAACCATCGAAACCCAAGAAACTCGGGTCGGGCGAAATGGGGGGATAGCAAAGGGGGGGTTTGAGAATCAGCTCACGCAGCTGATTTTCCCGGCGCCTCCCGGCGCCGGAGGCGGCCATGTATCGAGGAATGGGCCCCTCGGTGGGGCCGAAACCAGCTGCATGCAGCTAATTTCGTAACCCCCCCTTTCCCAATCCCCCCCTTTCGTCCGGTCCGAGAAACCCAGGGCACCCTGGAGGCAAGCAGGGCGTTTCTTGGCATGGGCCTCCACTGTAACGAGGCCGTCCCGCTGCGCGGCGCACTGCGCTGGCCGTCCTCGGCCTCGGGGGGGGGGGGCAGGACGGCGGGCCTGCGCGCGCCCGCTTTCTGGACGCCGGACCGCGACGAGGACCCTCCCCCCTCCTCCCCCCTCCTCCTCCTCCTCCTCCTCCTCCTCCTCCTCCTCCTCCTCCTCCTCCTCCTCCTCCTCCTCCTCCCTCCTCCTCCTCCTCCTCCTCCTCCTCCTCCTCCTCCTCCTCCTCCTCCTCCTCCTCTCCTCCTCCTCCTCCTCCTCCTCCCTCCCCCCCTCTCCCCCTCTCCCCTCCTCCCCCTCCTCCCCTCCTCCCCTCCTCCTCCCCCTCCTCCTCCCCCTCCCCCTCCCCCCTCCTCCCGGACCGCGACGAGGACCCTCCCCTGGCCGTGAACGACGCCGCCCCTGACCGATTGGGCGAAGGGCTGAGGGGTGAGAGCGCGCGGGCGGCGCCGCGGCGGCTCGCCATCGCGCAGCCGCGAAGTGAGCGCGTCGAGGGGCTTTCCTGGGCCCCTGGGTCCTGTCGGCGGTGGTCTGGGGCTGGGAGGTGCGCGGCGCGCGCTGGCAGGTGTGCGCCGCCTCCTCCACGGCGCTGCCGGCGCTGTCCTGCGCGGCGCCCACTCGCGCCTTCGCGATGTCGCGACGGGCGGGCGCAGCGCTGATGTCAGAAGAAATCTGCTCGAAGCCGGGCTTCGTCGCGCCTTGCGTGACTTGTATCCGATCGTTCGTGCTGTCAACGCCTGAGATGAGCTGCCGAGTCCACGCTGGCGCCGCTCTGCGTCCTGACGCGCAGCGCGAACGCGCATGACAAAGAACGCGGAGTTCAGCGCCGCCTGCCCCCCTGAAAGCAAGCCTTCCCGTAGAGCCAGGAGAATCCAGGAGAGGGCGAGCGCTCGACATCGAGGACTGACCACGAGGCACCGCTTACGTCGCGCGAGGTGGACCGTGCATCGATTAAGCCAACCATGCTTGAATTTAGGTGACCTCGGCGCCCCTCTTTCACGGCGTTTCCAGGGGCGGCGAGGGCGACGCCGCTGCGATGCTCCCCCCTGCGATGTAGAAGATGTCGATATGTCCCTCCTTCGCGCGTTCGATGTGATCCTCCAGGCTGATCGCCTCGCCGCCAGACATCGAGGCGCGGTGGCGATTGGGCTCCGCGACCTCTGCGCTTCCGGTGGAATCCTCGCGCGAGCCCAGCTCGAGGCCCGCCCCAAACTGTTCGTAGAACGCATCGCTGTCATCCATGCCTTCTCCCCCGCGTTCTCGCGAACGCCTCGAGGCACTTCTTCGCGAGGCTCTTCTTGGTCGCGCGCAGAATCTCGCTCTGCCGCGGCGTCTCGCGGGCGGCGTTCAACGGCGAGTCCTCGGAGCCAGCCGCGCCCTGCGCGACGCCGATGCACTCGGGCATCAGCTCGTCGCAGTCGCCCATGACGAAGACGCATCGCACGGGCATCTCATGTCGTCACGCCTCTCCTTGGACACCATCAGTCACCGCAGGGCTGGTCCGAGACAAGTGCGACGCCCCGCGCGGTGCCCAGCGCGCGCCCCAAGCGGTGCCCCCCCAATTCACGGCTTCGGTCCGCGCGCGGCGCGCTGCGCGATTGCCTTCCCGGTTTGCCCGATGCCCCCGCGCATCCTTCCCTTGCTCGGCCGAGACACTCGTGGCCCTCGATGCTCGTTTGCCCAGTGCCCTGGGCCCGCGCTCCCGGCCCCTCGGGCTCCATCTCTGCGACGCGACGCCGCTGCGACGCGGCGCCGGCGCGACGCGCCGCAGCGCCGCGACGCCGCGGGACTCCTGCAAATCCAACGTCCGATGTCTGGGCACGCGCCCAGACATTGAGCCCTGCGCGCCCACGGCGGAGCCCGCGCCTCGCCCGGACGGGGCGCCTGGATCGGCCGGCCGCGCGGCCAAACCGGGGCGACCGCGCTCCAGAAACACCGCGCTGCGCCCGAGAAAAAAGAAAACTCGGCGCCCAGAATGCGCCCAAAATTCAAACGGGCCACCGGCGCGGAACCTCCTCGCATCCGAATCCACTCGGGCACCACAGAGCTCCGCTATAAACCGTTTTGGGCACCACTTTGGGCAACATGTTTGGGCGCTGCGCAGGAATTTTCGGGCGCCGTGGAAACCGCGCCTGCGCGGCGCAGGACCTCCAGGGATGGGCCGACGGCGGCCGCGTTGGGAAGGGCGCCCGCGAGCTCGACTGGGCATGGGCACAGGGCCCCGAGCCCAACGACGCAGGTCCCCCAGGCCAGCGGCGCAATCCCGCGGGAGCAGCATCGCGGGTCACCAGGGTCGCGGCGGAAAGCCTGGAGGCAACGACGCAGTCCATCGCCGCTGCTCTCCAAATCTCACAGCTGCTCGCGGTGTCTGCTGCGCGGGGGTGCTCGCCGCGCGCCAACACATCTCCCCACGCGCGCTCAGCGGTGCACGTTGTGACAAGATGGATGATGGGGCGCATGCGATTTTGGGGCAAGCCCATTCGGGGTCTTGGGCCCGCCCTGCTACGAGAATGGGTCAAAGCATGCCCGGTACGAAGCAGAACATAGGGCAGCGCGGGGAACTCCAGCTGGCCCTCCACGATGAAGTGCTTCACGGCCAGGTGGTCCTCCCAATCGTTGGGCAAGGATTTGAAAGGCGTACGGTACTCCTCGTTGGCCACGTTCTCTGAGTTACGAATCCAAATCGGCTTGGACCGCGATCTCTATCCAACAGCACCGGTTCCACCTGACGTGAGCGGCCATGTCATCGAGTCTCGTCCTTGGAGCGAAACCATCATGATTCATAGTCCTGGCCTGTCTGGCTTGTCTCACCCGCCCGAGCAGGTGGAACGGACGCCGCGTTGCCATACTGATCCAAGCAAAACGGCAGCGCTATGATGATGGTAGTGATGATGATGATGATGATGATGCTGCTGCTGCTGCTGATGATGATGACAATGATGATGATGATGATGATGATGATGATGATGATGATGATGATGATGATGATGATGATGATGATGATGATGATGATGATAATAATGATGATGATGGTGATGCTGATGCTGATGCTGCTGCTGCTGCTGCTGATGATGATGATGATGATGATGATGATGATGATGATGATGATGATGATGACGTGACGAGAGAGGAGGAGAAGGAGGAGGACGAAGACCACCGAGGCGAAACATAATAAGGAGGATGAGGGAGGGGGTGGGGGAAGAGGAGGAAGAGGAGCAGGATGATAGGGGTGGAGGAGGGGGAGGAGGAGGAGGAGGAGGAGGAGGAGGAGGAGGAGGAGGAGGAGGAGGAGGAGGAGGAGGAGCAGGATGAGGAAGAGGAGGAGGAGGAGGAGGAGGAACAGGAGGAGGAGGAGGAAGAATGATAAGGAGGAGGGAAGGGGGGGGAGGACGCGCGTGAAGAGGAGGCGGAGGAACGGGCCTTCGCAGCGAGGAGCGCCCGCAGGGAGCAACCGTGGCCGAGGCAGCACGCCTCGAGGCGGTTGCGCGCGGGCGCAGGGGTAGGGGCCTTCCCGATGGGGTCGGAGAGGATGGGGGCGGACGGTCGCGCCGCATCATCGATGCATCACTGATACATCCGCTGTTTACTGGCAGCGCATCGGCGACGTCGGCGATGCATCGGCGCCGTCGGCATAGAACAAGTCGGGCTCCGCATCGAGCCACATCGCCAGTGCATCGGCGATGCGGCGCGATGCTCCGACCCCATCTTCGATCCACTCGCTCCACTCGTGCGTCAAAGCTGCGTCGAACGTCCGTCGACTCGAGTCGAACCTGAGTCGAACCTGAGTCGAACCTGAGTCGACCTTGAATCGAACTTAAGCCGAACTGCAATCGAACTGGAGTCGAACCGATCCGTTAGGTGGGCGCCAGGAAGGTACCCAAAACGAGCATCGCACCCATCTGCTCTGGCCCCACTTTGGAAGCCTGGAAAGGGCGGCCTCTCGGGGTCTTCGGGCAGGGGGCGGAGGAGCCACGCGCACCCGCGGCAGGCTCGTGACCGTGGTGGCGTGGTGCGGTGGCTTCTGGCACCGCGCCGCGGGGCAACTCCGGGGAGGCACTCGAAGTGCACCGGGAGGCGAGGGGCGAGGACGGCGGCGGCGGCGAGGGGCGAAGGCGACGGCGGCGCCAAGGCTTCCTGGCGAAGCTGCCAGGAGGAGGTCGCTTCGGCCCTCGCTGCGCAGGACTCCTGGGAGGCAACCCCCTCGCGCCGCGACGACGGCGACGACGACGACGGCGACGACGACGACGGCGACGACGGCGACGACGACAACGGCGACGACGACGACGACGGCGACGGCGGCGACGACGACGACGTTCTCGGCCCCGAGGCCCCCGCGGGGCCCCGGGGCCGGCACACGGCGGGCTGGGGAATGGAAGACCGGTCTCGTGGGCCGGGCCCAGAAGTAAGTCGGCGCGTCTCCCCCTACAGGGGGATCTTCGACAAAGAATCCAAAATATTAAACATGCTCCAAATGGGTCGAAAATACTCAAAACATAGTCCCCCGACTATTTTCTTACTATTTTTGAATATTCCCCCTGTAGAGGGACAGGCCCGACTTAAGCCCAGAACTCTCTGAGGGTCCACGTCATGAAAAAAAAGGCGTCGGGGGTCTAGGTCGGGAAGCTACTCGTGGCATGTCTTGGCAAGGAGCCGAGCTCTATACACCGACGCCTTTGTCTGGCCTCACACTGAATCTCGCACAAGAAAGCGGATCCTGGTGTATACGGGATCCTGGTGTATACATTCTTCGTTGTTTCCCTGGAAAAATTGAAGAACAAAATACACAACACCACCACCACGACGTCGTCCCGGATCCTCAAAAAGTCCCGGGATTGAAAAACCAACACGACCCTGGTAATGTATACGTTCTAATTTTCGACTTGGTAAAACGATAAGAGGCTACTGAGCCCAATTCGAGGGGCCGTTGAGCTGGACTCGCCTGGATTGCAGGCAAGGTCGAGCCGGACTGCGCTGGATCAGGCGGGATCGAGCAAAGTCAGGTCGGATTCGGCTGGATTGCAACCACGGATATTATTACCAGCGCCGATGCTGAATTGAACATCCCAGGAATTGCATCCAAAATCACGTGGATTCAGGAAAAAGGTTTCACACCATCCAAACTACCGCCCAGACGACTCCATGACGCGAGACAAAAGATCGCCAGGCAAGGCGGAACCCTCACACGAGATTTCGCCGATGCCGCGAAAACGCCCAAAGGAGGACTGACGAAAGGCAAGGAAGACACCATTAGGGAGGCGGAGGCAAGGGGGATGTCCGAAAGGGAAGCAAGAACACGATGATGAGGCAAAGGAGACCTGCACAGGTTACACAACTTCGTGCATCGCGCAACGCGATGAGCGACGCGCGGTGTCTTTGGGCCCTCGCGCGGACGCCCACGAGGAGGTCGCCTCTCCGACCCAATCCGCGCGAGACGTGGCTCTCTTCGCGCCGCCGGGGGGGTGACCTGGAGGCTCGGGGCTGTGCACCAACAGCCGGGGGCATTTCTGTGGAGGGGGCCAGTTCCAGGGGTGGCCAGCTCGGGGGGGCATCGAGCTGGCATCGTCGGCGCGACGCCAACCAACCCCGCCAGAGCGAACCCGCAAGTTCCTGGGCGGGGTGGGCTGGATCGGGCCCCGGCGAGGACCGGGCTTCTGCGGAGGGGCGGTACGACTCCCCCCCCGCCCCCCCGAGCCCATTCTCCCCGACCGCTGCCCCTGAGGAAGGAGGAGGCCTTCCACCTCCTTCTGATGCTCCTCCTCCTCCTGTTGCTCCTCCTCCTCCTGTTGCTCCTCCTCCTCCTCCTCCTCCTCCTCCTACTCCCCCTGCTGCTGCTCCTCCTCCTCTCCCTCCTCCTCCTCCTCCACCAGGGAAGTACCCACTTACGAGCAAAGAGTGGCGGTCCTGCTGGAACGTACAAGATCCAAGGAAGCCAGTCAGACTGGCTAGTGCAACTGATTTGTTCAGACCGTAGTGCTGGGTATTTCCCCTTTTTGGGCATCGATTCTAATCCATTCCTCCTCCTCATCCCCCTCCCCCTCCTCCTCCTCCTGCTCCTCTTCCTCCTCGTCCCCTTGTTGCTTTTCCTCCTCTTCTTCTCCTTCTTCTTCTTCTTAGTATTATTATTATTCGTATTATTATTATTATTATTATTATTGTCATTGTCATTATCATCATTATTATTGTTATTAATATTTGTACTATTATTATTATTAGTAGTAGTAGTATTCGTAGTAGTAGTATTATTCATATTATTCTTATTCGTATGTTTGTTAGTGCTGTGTTTATTATTGATCATCTTCTTCCAAATATAATATTAATTATGTTCATGATGAGTTATCCTCCTCCTCCTTCCGAAAAACGAAGCCAAGACAAGGATAAGACACCGGGCGAAGACACATCGATAATCATCCAGATCTGGCGGCTTTGGAGGACGTCTCGGGCCCCGCCGCGGCCTTCTCAGAGCGTTCCGGAACGCTATGGAACGGATGTATCCTCGTCCTATCCCCACACGGTTCCTCCTCCTTCCTCCTCGGGGCAACGATAACAGGAGAGGGGAGGGCGCTCCATAGCGGGGGAGGAGGAGGAGGAGAAACTTAGTGTTTCAGAATGGGGCGATTTTTGGTGACAGACGACAAACATGCAACCTGGAACACAGGCCTGGGTAAACTGCCTGCTTCTTGGCCATGGCCAGTCAGCTTCGCTGTAACCTATACTCCGCCGAAGTAGTGGGTGCGATCGCCTTCTAAACGTCTGGGACGCTCCTGGGCGAATTATCGGAAACTGCTGAAGTGCATCCATCAGCTGGAAACTGGAAAATCACACTATTACTTTGAAGGAACTATTTGCTAAAGGATTTAAGCATTTTGATAAACTGTTGTTGCTCTGTTGCGCGACAGCCGCGGCGGCCCGTCCGAATTGCCAATCCACGTCCTGCGCTCGCGCCCTGAATCTCCTTCCTGTCAGGGAGCATATGCAATACGCTGGAACCATGACCAAATATCGCCACGACCTTATGCAACGCGACCCTGATTACTTGAGCAAATGCATAGCGGAATGGACTGGCAGGGAAGACAGGGACGACCGGGCCCTGGCCCCGCATCACCACAGCATCCCCGGGGTTTTACTTTGGCAGGCCGCGGACTTGACTAAAGCGAGAAAGCGACACGAAAGCGAGGAAGTGGCTATACGAAAGCGAAGAAACGGCTTCATTAAAGCGAGGACGCGATTGTAGTAAAGGCGCGCCTTTCAATGCATTCCGAAACAACGACGTTTCACGAAAGCAACAAGAAACTTCCTAGTAAAGCCGAGGAGACGGGTGGGGCAAAACTGCGCACAGAAATGTCGTTCCCAAAAATTCCGGCGCGGGACTCCAGGAACGGCGGGGCGCAAGTTCGCCCGTGGGCCCGGGCCCCGTCGCCGCCGTCGCCGCGATGTGCGTCGTCGCCGCCGTCGCCGTCGCCGCCGTCGTCGTCGCCGTCGGTGCAGACGCTGCCGTCGTCGACGCCGTCGCCGCCGTCGTCGCCGCAACGCCCGCGCATTCACGCTATTACCAGCGGCGGGTCGCGCTCGACCGCGCGCGCCATTGCGCTCGCATTTCCGTTCTTCCGACGGGGGCTCAGGCGGACATCGTGATTTTTTTCCACCCACAATTTGTTTTAAGTGATAATGGGAGAAATACGTCTCTGAATCGAGCCCGCACGAAGTGCAGAACCAGACCCCGAAGCCCGAGGAGGTCGCTACGGTTCGCCACCAGAGTCCGGACGCAGAAACAAGAGAAGAGGGGGGGAGCAGGAGGCGGCACTGCAGGGAGGGGAGGGAAGACGACGAGGACGAGGGATGGAGCAGGAGAACGTGGGAGGGGCCCAGACCCCCGACGTCGTTTTTTTTTTTTTTTGTTCTTTCTTCTTCCTTTCGAAACGTCGACACCTTGAGGTCTGGACCCCTTCCCCGAGACCGGCTTGTCATCCCGAGCCGTTTTCTGACGGTCCTGAGGCCCGGTCAGGGCCCACGGAGGCCGAATATACAGTGGAGGGCCATGCCAAGAAACACCCTGCTTGCCTCCAGGGTGACCTGGGTTTCTTGGGTTTCGAGGGTTTTGCTTGGGAAAGAGTGATGCTCCCACACCTACAGTCAATGGACGTCCTGGGGTCTCAGAGTTGGGTTGCTTGTGGAAGGTTTCTTGTGGACTGGCCTCCAGAAAAGGAAAAACTCCCGTCGTGGTTTCTACACAGCACGAGAGGGTCTGCGGAGGCAAGGAGGCCGCACTGACGCCAAAGACGGCGAGGATCAGGGAGGAACAAAAGCACGCAGGCACAGTGAACCGCCGACTCCCAGGAAGATATGGGACACTGTGGAAGAGGGGGGGGGGGGAGACGAACACCCAGAAAGAACAAAAACAATGAGAATCATGGGAGTTGTGTCCATTTGTGTGTGTGTGTGTGTTCCTGGGCCCCTTTCGCCGCAGGCGCTCTCCCTCCTCCCCTCGTCCCTCCTCCTCCTCCTCCTCCTCCTCCTCCTCCTCCTCCTCCCCGCTTGTCCTCACAGGTGGAACCGATGCGTTTTTGTTTATGGAATTTCGTATCGCATCAGCTCCTTTCGAGGGGGGCGGCGGAGGCAGACGCCCGCGCGCCCCTCCGCTGCGGCGGCGGCCCGCACTCGCGGGGGAGGCGCGCCTGCAGCAGGGCGTAGCGCCCGCCGTCGCCGCTC